ACCCTGATTTACATGACGTGCACAGAAGTCAGACTTTAGGTATCATCCAATGTAATTCATGTATGTGTTTATATTTTGCAGAATAATATTTGATTGCACAAATGTGGGGGAGTGTTGTGGAAAAAGTGACTTAAAAGGTGAGTTAAAAAGCAATATGCATGGGAATGCTAAGCAGTAAATGAAGCTGTCTGAATAACCCTACTTAAATGACCAGCCAATACTGTACATACCCATCGTAGCGAGGACACAGAGTCTGCGCTGGCCTGTTTTGACATGATGTCCATGAAGGCCTTTGCTGTGTCTGAGAACTTCTTTATTAGCACTGGAGCAGGTACCCTACAGAGCCACAGGCAAAAACCACTTTGGGTAAAGAATCAATGGCACACAAGCAGTGCTATAACCTGTTTTTTAAACCCACAAACATCCTGAATCTTGTGAGCTATGACTAGTGAATCCCAACACAACTGGACGTCAACATTAAACATGACACATAGTGGATGTGGTGCACCATATGGGAGCCTACTTTTTGGTCAGACCATACAAGTCCTGACAAAAGGTTCAGCTGATCACAATAAATGAGCAAATATATGGAGCGGACACAGAAATCACATCAATGGCCAGAGCCTGATGTTGACACTGATGCTACACCCACACTTTGCATAGTTCTGGCTCACCAGAACCTGTGAAAGTTTGTGTTTTCGAATGGCTGAATCAGATGACCACCACCATGCTGTATACAGTAAACAAAAAAAAAAAATTATATGGACTAAACATGAGCATGACCCACCTCTTCATTACCAAGTTCAGTAGGTAAGCAACAGCAGCCAGTGATTCACTGCTCTCTACCGCTTCAAGGGTCGTCATCTGTCACAGGAAGGAGATTTTGAGGCCAATTTACAAACCTGAGAGCATCACCTACTATTTATAATGATCTGTTTACTCCCGAACAGCCTGTGAAACATGGCACTATGGAGCAAAGACGAAATTAATTCATCTAAAAGTAGCGATAAACCAAAATGAGTATTGTAGGCCGATGCTGATGTCCAAAATTTTTCACATAAATTTGAAATGCAAATAAAGACATACAAACGTTTATGAACTGCTAAATTTGGGACTATATCTACCAGAATTAGCATTACAGAGAAATGTAACATTTACTTGGAGAGGGTTACAAATGCAGTAAAAAGAAAAGAAAAAAAAAAATGGAGACATTTTAGCTAGGTGACCAAGTGTCACCTAAACATTCTACCATTCTGGAGGACAATAAATACAAATCAGTTTGAAATGTTCATCAAATCTGAACATTGTTAAATGCTAACAATTTTTAAAGCAGTTATCTGCTGATAACAATATGATTCTGATATTATAGTACATTTCTACTTAAAATAAATAAAAGCTTACATTTCAGACCCACTCACCAGAGCTGCAAAGTATTCTGTCTCTGTCTCCTTTCCTCCCTGAGAGCGAATCACTTCTGTGACAGCTGCTAATACAGCACAGATCTGTAGAGCAACATATAACCAGCATCTTAACAGTGTGATACAGTGTTTAACGGTGGACTCCATTATTTGGGCTGCAGTGATGCACAGAATCATATCACATCAAAACATTTTAATTCTACTGGACACAAACCTCTTTGTGTGCAGCAGAGTTGGACTCCCAGTAACGCTGGACTTTTCTAAAGGTGAGATTAGAACAGTCTGATAGTCCACTAAGAAATGTCCCAGAGGTCCTCTCAGTGAGGGCATCCTCCATGGCGTCGCCTGCCCCATCGCCACCTCTCTCCAGACGACCCGCCTGGAGATCATTATGGAGTTTTAGAGCATCAACCGTGAGATCACTTTTCCCTGTAATGCAAATGATGACACAGAATACTTGGGTACACAGAAGGAGAATAATAAGAAGTTTCATGTACCTAAAAAACATACTTTTCTAACATTCTTAATAGAAATGTCTAATATTTTTAGATGTAATGGTTATTCTCAAATGCTCAGGTGTTTGCTTATATTCAAGCATGTACTCTAGAAAATAATCCTTCTCAACTACTAACTTTTGGTCATTGACATTTAGTTCTCAACTCTTCTGTCGAATTTGATTTTGTTTTGCTGATGACAGCATTTGGACTGCTTTGCTGTTGTTCGCACGTCTCATTTTCAAGCGTTTTCCTTTTACTTCAGACCAAACGGATACCAAAAAGAAAAGAATAGCTAATAAACTTGATATCGTACATAGATTCTATATGTAAAGGTTTCACTGTAGCTCTATTAGGAACTTGGAGTTTTCGATCTGATATAAAAACTTAGCTTAGCAGAAAAAGTATTCTACTAACATACTTTTCCTTCTTTTTGTGGGAGGTTTTAAGCCCTTTAGTCATCACTGTACACTCTACTGTAAAGCCAAATCTACTAACCCTGCTGTCCAAATTCTGCACAAGTCGCACAAAATTGTGGTTTATTTGTATGAGTAGTCAAAGCGTGTATTAACGTCTAAAGTAAAACAACCCGACTAGCTAAAGGCTAACTGTAACTCTCGCCTCGTGCTCCTGAGGCCAGCTGTGAAGCGTAAACAGCGGCAGCAGCAGCGCTCGTCTTTACCTGAGGGGCGGCTGAAAAAGCGGCTTCTCGCTGCTTGACGGTAACGACTCGTCTGCGGATTTGAGTCGCTGCTGTGTCCTTTCTTCCATCGTTTTAATTTCTGAGCTGCTCCGGACCGCAGTTTTCCAGTTTTCACCATTTTGGTAGATGAAATAATCCGCGTGTTTCAGCCGCTCCACGCTGGTCTTCACGTCGCTCTTTAGATGCCGTCATCATCCTGGGCCCGTTCTCTTCCTCACCGCGCCGCTAGGGGGCAGCAGCACAGTTGATACACTCACATATACAAAACTTAATAGTAAATAGTAAATAGTAGTAATAGTAAATACATTTAGTATTTATTTAATTACGCAATTAATTACTTATAAGATTAAGTAAAAAAAAACGTGTTGGGTATTTTTTTGTTTGCCTGTTTGTCTTTTCTCTTCTGACCTGTGAGTATTGTAAATAATGTGCTACAGAGCCCCTGAGGTGACATGGTGATTATTTTTTAAGGTGTGGCCAATAAATAATATATTGAGGCCACAAATTATTATATTAAGCCCACAAGTTGTAAGGAGCTTAACTCATGGCCGCAATATAGTTATTCTTGGCCTCAATGTTGCCTCAGTGTATTAATTCGTAGCCATGCCTTATTAAAAAATAATCACCATGTCAACCTAGGGGGTCCGTAAGGTGCAGCTAAAAACATTTTAAATTCTAACCGATTAAAGTCCACCCTCCTTTTGAAACGAAGTGACTGCAATCACATTTGGTGAATCCCACTGAGGGAGGGTATAAAAAGCACTAAAGGGGGTAATCAAATTATATATATATATATATATATATATATATATATATATATATATATATATATATATACACATACACACATACAGTGGTGTGAAAAAGTGTTTGCCCCCTTCCTGATTTCTTATTCTTTTGAATGTTTGTCACACTTAAATGTTTCAGATCACCAAACAAATTTAAATATTAGACAAAGATAACACAAGTAAACACAAAATGCAGTTTATAAATGAAGGTCTTTATTATTAAGGGGAAAAAGAAATCCAAACCTACAGGGCCCTGTGTGAAAAAGTGATTGCCCCCTAAACCTGATAACTGGTTGGGCCACCCTTAGCAGCAACAACTGCAATCAAGCGTTTTCGATAACTGGCAATGTGTCTTTTACAGCGCTGTGGAAGAATTTTGGCCCACTCATCTTTGCAGAATTGTTGTAATTCAGCCACATTGGAGGGTTTCCGAGCATGAACCGCCTTTTTAAGATCAAGCCATTACTCAATCGGATTCAGGTCAGGACTTTGACTAGGCCACTCCAAAGTCTTAATTTTGTTTTTCTTAAGCCATTCAGAGGTGGACTTGCTAGTGTGTCTTGGATCATTGTCCTGCTGCAGAACCCAAGTGCGCTTCAGCTTGAGGTCACGAACAGACGGCCGGACATTCTCCTTCAGGAATTTTTGGTAGACAGCAGAATTCGTGGTTCCATTTACCACAGCAAGTCTTCCAGGTCCTGAAACAGCAAAACAGCCCCAGACCATCACACTACCACCACCATATTTTACTGTTGGTATGATGTTCCTTTTCTGAAATGCTGTGTTACTTCTACGTCAGATGTAATGAGACATACACCTTCCAAAAAGGTCAACTTTTGTCTCGTCAGTCCACAGAGTATTCTCCCAAAAGTCTTGGGGATCATCAAGATGTTTTCTGGCAAAACTGAGACGAGCCTTTATGTTCTTTTTGCTCAGCGGTGGTTTTTGTCTTGGAACTCTGCCATGCAGGCTATTTTTGCCCAGTCTCTTTCTTATAGAGGAGTCATGAACACTGACCTTAACTGAGGCAAGTGAGGCCTGCAGTTCTTTGGATGTTATTGTGGGGTCTTTTGTGACCTCTTGGATGAGTCATCGCTGCGCTCTTGGGGTAATTTTGGTCGGCCGGCCACTTCTGGGAAGGTTCACCACTGTTCCATGTTTTCACCACTTGTGGGTAATGGCTCTCACTGTGGTTCGCTGGAGTCCCAAAGCTTTAGAAATGGCTTTATAACCTTTTTCCAGACTGATAGATCTCAATTACTTTGTTTCTCATTTGTTCCTGGATTCCAAAGATGTGATAAACCACAGCTAATTTATGTTTTAATGTACTAAATATTAGACAAAGATACTTGTGTTATCTTTGTCTAATATTTAAATTTGTTTGGTGATCTGAAACATTTAAGTGTGACAAACATGCAAAAGAATAAGAATTCAGGAAGGAGGCAAACACTTTTTCACACCACTGTGTGTATATATATATATATGTATAAATATTTAAATCTTCTGTTACATTAGAAAGATCTAGTGTAAAGCACATTTGTTATTCAACTGAAAGTCACATTAGAAATAGCATCAGTATTGATGGGTAACAGTATCAGGCTGACATCAGCAGAAAAAGCTGGCTCTGGTATCAGAGGTGAAAAAAGAAACAATCTGATCCAATCCTGTAACAAATCTATACTGAAATAACACACAGTTACACTGTTTGACGTGATATTAGCTCTGTATGTTTTCCGTTGGGGTAGTACAGATGTTTGCATAGTTTGAGCATGATAGCCTACTTTTAGATATTCACCTTAAAATAATTAATGGCTTTTTTTTAAAGCTTGTTTGCAAAGAAAGAATATTTGCTCAGTATTGGCTGATACTCAAGGCTTCAATATCTGTATCAGAAAAGAAAAGGTGTCTTTTGTATTAAAAACCATATTACTATTCCATGTCATAAAACAAACTGCAGCAGTATTTAAAAATGATCTTTACTTACATTTGATTTATTATTTAAAAAAACAGCCTCTTCCTCAGACTATACATCACACTATTATTGATCAGTGTTTGGATGTACTCCACAATGAACTGAAGGCCTTCTCTGTCCACACAGTTGTGGTAGAAACGTCACATAGATGATTCTCCCCACATTCACTCATGTAAGCAAGAGGCTTGATACGACTTCTTCATTACATAATCATTACATCACATAAATCCCAGGAAAGGGAGAGAACGTTCTTCAATCTGAATGAGACACCACCCCAATGTCTCTTCAGAAGTCTGATTACTTTTGAGGCCTAATATAACATTTTATTAACATAACTGACAGATGGACAGAAAGACTTGAATGAAAAGAACAGGGGAGATCAATGATAGAGAGTGGCCATAAAATCTCCAGTAAAAGGAGTAACACTGAGACAGAATGCTGTCAGCTTCACTTAAATAAATAAAGCTCCAAACAGGTGCTCTGTTGAAGGGGATTCCCTGGATGGAGAGTGAATGGGATGAGAAGTTGATGAAAGAGAAGTGCAGTGTAGATGCTTCTGCTGCAATTTGATCTCCCCTTTGCCACTAGCACATTGCAGCAGGACAGTAGAGCCATTACTCAGGCAAATAAACACACAAAAGAAAAAACAGTGGTTTAAATAGTGGTTCAAATGATATTTCCTTCTCTAAACCACTAGTTCATAAATAAAATGCCCCTCTACAAATGATGCAGCTGATCCAGATTACAGAGTTGTTAGTCATGAGATTAGCGAAAAGGCAGTAATGCGCCACTGACAAGTGAAAAGGGAAAATGCTAAATGTAAATGCTGCCTACATACTCAGAAAACCGGACAATTTTGTTTTCCAGAAATATAATTGTATGTGCAGCACGTGAATGCATTCTGTCAATAAGAACACACTGTTATACAGTAAATCAGGAAAATATACAGTAGATCAAGAAAGCATTTTAAAGCTACAACCCACATTCATCAGCAACTACATTCTGATTCCTATAGAAAGATACATTGAGAAAATAAAACAGTTCCTCTCAGGTTCCTGCAAACTAGCAAACTATAACAGTTTTGTTGCATTATAAAAGTACAAAAATACCCTATTTGTTTTGTTAGACAGAAATGGCTTTCAATTGTATCCACACCACTAAAACATCATCTTCCATCAGATCAGAACATTCTGTAATAAAACCGATATCACTCATTCAGACTGAGGGCAGCTTTGAGCTCTTATCACAGTATTGTAGTATTTGATCACAGCACAGGCTGATCCTGATGATCCTGAGGATGTGGTTTTGTGATCTGAGGCTGTATGGAGTCACAAGTTCACAACAGATCGTCTGCTTTCTGTGTTTATAGATGAAACATCTGAGTGTGAACAGTGTTCAAACCCTTAATGCAACCTAACAACTGCTACCTACCAGCGTGCTACAAAGTATTTCTAAAATGAACTTACATGTTTATCTTCTTGTCTTTAAATACAGTAGCAAAGTGACAGAATACTGAAAGCTGAAAGGTGTAATATCAAAGCAACAATACAATAACAACAAAAGTAAGAGGAAATATGTACGTAATATGACAGGCTACATACAGCTTTTGAATTTAGAAGACAAGTTTAAAAAGTAGGAATAAATATATAAAAAAACGCATAAAATTCACTGACGAGTGAAAAAGCTGACCATTGAATGTGCGTAAATCATGAACGACGATGCAAGACCTTAATTTGAATGAGAATACCATGTTCCTACCGATATAATCCATATCACCCATCCCAAGGAAATACAGCTGAAATGATGCCTTCAAGGAAAACAAACCTGACTGAACAATGACTGCATACACATTTTTTCAATTAATGCCTGAAAATTCTCCAAATGTAAACCTACTATCTTCTATTCCCAGTCAATGCTGGGCAGCAGCTTTGTGTGTGATTGTCAATGCAAAAAGCACAGAGGACCAAAGACTCCAATATCCACAAGACAAGCAGCGGACATTTCAATTAGTTAAGAGAGCAAGGCATTTATAATGTCTGTTCAGTGAGTTGCAACACTTATAAAGGCTCTCTCACAACCTGGTGAGTTCCTTATGTCCCATGAACTTGTTTTTTTACCCTTTTGCTCAGCTAGTAATGACAGGTTGTTTGACAATAACCTGGATTACAAAATCCTTCTGAATCTTGGTGTCCTGCAGACGAGTTTTGTCTGTAAGAAGCTTTCCAGAGAAGAACCAACGCTGGTTGGCAGCATCAATGTCCTCTTGCACCTGCAGCTGCTTCTTGAGCTGGCAGATGGAGTCCGCCATGCTAGCGCTCAGCCGCAAGTCTTTTCCTGTGGAGAGGCGTACCTTCAGCTGGAACTCCTCCTTCTCTTTCTTCTCCTGCAGCTCAGCGTGGTCAGACATGTCACTGTCACTGCGCTCTGTGATCAGATTGACTGGAGGAGCCAGGCAGTAAGCAGGAAGCTGGTACCGGTTCCCCAGCTCATCATAGCACTCCATTAAAGAGCCTGAGACAGAGACATGACATCAGTTATGTCTTTTCAAAATAACTTCTCTCTGTCTCATTATTACTGTCTCTATTTTTTCTATATCAGCCTAAGCTGTAGCCCTTATAGGACCCCCTTGATGTGCATGCCTCAAATTTTTACCTGGGCAAATTCTGTCAAAAGTGCAGGTTCTAAGCTTTTTAATTGATACCAGAACTGGATATTTATTTTGATTTGAATGTGATGAAAAGTCATTGTTATTGTACAGAAGAGATTTGAAAAAAGAAAATCAACATTTTTGACATGTTTACTAGTTTTTGACATGAAAATAAGGGCAAAAAAGTTAGAAGTACAGACTCTGTATCTGTTCACACAGAATGTAAATGTCTTGTAAAGTTGTTATGTAACTAACTATGCAATTAATTATGTAATTACACACAATCATGTAACGTAAATAGAATGCACAGCAAAATTGCGTAAAATTTGAAAATATGCAAAGGTAAAGCTTGAGATAAGAAAAAAATGTATTCTTATACATTTCATATATCACGAAACAAGTTTTTTATGCTTGGGTGAGGTGGAAAACTGGTTTATCAATAAAGGAGAAATGCAAACAGATTTTTGAATAAACAGGACAGAAAGTCCCATGTTTGGTACAAGGTTCTCTCAGAACTATTTGCCTCGGTGACGTTTGCAGGGTTTCGATGGGTGACAGCGAAGCATGACTATGACTCCAGCCCTCATTAAATGGCCCACTGCCCTCTGAAGTGCTTGGGCTTCAGTCATGTACAACTAAGAGGGCTGTCAAAACTGCTCTACTGAGAGCTAATAAAATCAAATCCCTCCACTGTACCTGCCACACATATAATTTAGCTTTAAATATGCCAGTATAAAGAACATTAAATTGAAATACAAAAAATAAATGCAAAAAATAAATGCCCCTGTCCTTACCATGTGGTAGTGTGATGCTGGCACCATCAACTATGGCCTGTGCAAGCTCATGGTCATTACACTCAATCGCCACAGCAGCGGCTTTCAAGGCATCCCAAATCTCTTTGCGGCCATCAAAAGCTGGTGCTGTATCCCAGAACTCATCTCGCTTGCTGCGCAGCTGTCCTTCTGTCATCGGGTAGTCACTTTTCCACTTAGGCTTGTCTTTCTTAAGGGGTTCATTGCGCCCTAAAGGAAGCACAACAGCTTTGATCAACACTGATCACAACATAGAAAGTAATATTGAAGTGGCTGGGTGGTTAGATAACTCATCAAATTCAGCTGTGTTAAGATCAAAGTAAGACACAAAGACAAAAAATTCACATATTTAGCCAGCCAGGCTCTATGCTCATGAGTACATTTGATGTAGTAACACATTTCACTGCAAAAGAAAAGAAAAAAACTTCAATCTCAATAGAAAAGACCACAGAGTACTCAACACAGATGGCAGTGACCATAAGAGTACCGACTAAAGCATGAGAGGTAGATAGTAACACTGGACAAGAATAGTATTCAGCTTTCTAATTTGAGGAGCTCAGAGAACATCTTTCTGCGCCTCTCCATCTGAGACGCCAAATTGGCTCAAGTCCCAGCTCTGTGGTCTACGATGTCTGAGCAGCTCTGCAGCCAAGACACATGGACCTCTCTGGAGTTCTGCAGAGAGCAGGTAAAGCCTCCAACACATCACCCCAGATTAGTGAGGAGGAATTAAAAGAATTCAAAAAAAGAGCATGGGGAAAGTAACTACTAATGGATGTTAGAACCACTATCAAACCAATTACCCACAAATATTTCACATAAATAGCCTGTGATGAACAATAAGGCTTTTTTGCCGGGCCTAGTGAGAACCAACAACTGAACTGGCTGCATACAAACAGCATTACATGCCACAACGGCTTTGTAAACATGTCTAATTTTTTCTGTACTGTATATCCAACAACTCCAATGAAACTGTCCATCTACATGTACTGAGAGCAGAGGCTCAACTGAGAGACAACAAATTATTTATAGTGCTTTGGATTACAACCTTAATCGGGTAACACATAACAGGATTTATGTGTCTTTCCCATGATGCATCTCTTGCCAGCATGTGCAACAGCACACAATAAACAACTGGGAGTGTTTGGTAATGTGCTCAAGGTTACGAATGCTAGAAAACACTGCTGAGCAACTGCTTCGAGTTTTTTTTTTTCATGAATTTCTCTCTCACTGCAGTTTCAGAGCAAACCAGACTGAAACACTACAACTTTTTTGCACGTTGTAGGCGGGAGGAAGACCATTCATTTCTTTAAAATGTAAATTTACCACTCATAAAAATGGATATATTCCCACTTTATCTGATCAGTGATGCAGCAGATGTTGGCATATTGATGTGACTCACCCCACAGGTGCGTCAGAAAGAGGAACGCTATAGGCAAAAGCATCGCTGCATCGCAAAAGCCGCTTAATGAGAAACAGTAAGCTCCTGCTGGAATACGCCACAGGCATTTTAGTTAGAGTGACATGAAGCATGAAGCCAGCAGTGTCTGCAAAGCTACTGATGCTCGTCTGACATCTTGCATGTTAACAAATCCCTTCCAATTACCACACGAAGAAGATTAAACATTCATTCAATTTGACTTTAGTTTGCCCACGACAGAGTGGCAGGGTGGAACGGCTTGTCATCCTGATTATTAAAAAAAGAGTGACAGGGCCTTCAAATAACGGATTGCAGCAACGTTTCACCAGAATTAAACATTACCACAGGCTTAAAGACAATAAAGATGAGAAATATATGTAATGCACATTAAACAACACTATGGAACGTCATGACCATTCAATACATCAACACTTCGCTTCATAAAGCTATACAGTTTTCAGAACAAGGCCTGTGTACTGTACTTACTTTTCAACAAAACAGTAACTGAAGTGTATGAGTCTCTTGAGTTTGCAACTCCCATGGCTGCAGGATCCAGCAATATGTCTCAAAGCAAAAGGAAGTATCTACATCAAAGCTTCTTCACATCAAAAATGATTCCAGTCATCAAAAATAACAGATGTTTGCTAATTCCTTTATATTCCTGATGGAAACCTGAAGACATCCTCCGACAGGTGCAAAAATGGGCAAGAAGTCAGTCCCTTGATGCACCGTCTTCCCTACAAGTTGTTAATGGATAGCAGATTTCGGTGTGACACTACTACTACTGCACTACTAGCTTACTTGAGTTCTCCTTGCTCTGCGTACATGCCCATCACCTGTTCTCCGGAAGCTATTCATACAAGCTCACAAAAATAAATCCAAGAGGCAATATATGGAACTTCTTGGAGCTGTGTGGGAACAAAGACTCTACGACCTCCTCACAACAAACCTGGGGCCTAATCCAATCAAGTCTCTTTAAGACCAAGAGTCAAAAATAAATCTACAGTAAATCCTAGGATTGCCCAGCATGGGGCATCCTGCAGAAACTCGCAATCACTGTGCTGTACCCAAGCATTTCCAAAATAAATACAAACTGGATGTTGACTAATCTCAGAAGTACTAATCTTATTTGGTTTCTTGGTAGATGCAGCTTTTAGAGGAAAAATCAGTTAAGCAATTAAATGCACATCAATTCCAAGACCAAGGAATCAGTACAGGTAAAGAGTCTATCAGCATAAACTCTCTCTCCTACTGGACATTACAGAAAGATTTAATGAAAGATCAAATTAAATCAAACAAAAGATACACAACATAGTAAACTATGGTGATCTTGGTATCTGAATCCTGGGCTTTGATATAAAACGAGACAATATCTGATTTGCAATTGTTAATAATCATAAAATGAACAACTTCTGATTTCCCATCAAATTCAGCTGAATTAAGATCTAATTTTCTAATTTGTACACAAAGATATTTGCATAAGCTATTTCTCAGGGGTTGCAGTGTCATAATCTGTCAATGACACCACAGACAGACCTCAGACGAATTCCTGTGATTTATCTGAGGGACTTGGTGGAGCATGTCTGCTCTAAACCTGTTGCTTAATTCACTTACCTCCTCGCTTTTTGCTGTATCTGGAGGCATTTCTGGATGAACCAGCAGAAGAAGCTCCAGCGCCTCGAACCGTCCCAACACAGCCCCCCATGTTTCCTCTTCACACCGAGGGCATGTCAAATCCAAGTCCTCGCTGGTGCAGGTAGAGAGCTAAATCCGCACAGCAGCAGGCACGTACAGCGGCTAACTGAACGGACTGCCTACATAATTATTTCCGTAGCTACACGGTGTGCTGAGGAATGTGTGTCAGTCCAAAGCAACGAAGGCGAACACGACACTCGCTGCAAAGCAGAGACAAAAGTGCTGAGTTTTCCTCTCAGGTGTCTCTTGTTGTCGTGTGGATGCTGCTAACGTGCTAAGCGCAAAGTTAGTGTTCCTGGTCGCCGGAGAAAGAACATTTGCGAAAATGATGACTTTGCTGTGGCCAACAGCACCTGCAACTGCGAGCGAGTAAACTAAAGCCTTTTAAATCAAATTTACTTAATCTATAGCCAGAATAACTATCTATAAAAACTACATATTCCCTTATTCCCTCTCGGCTGAAACTCTGAGAAGAAAGCAGCTACCCGACCCGTCTGTGTTCCAGCTCAGGTGAAGACAAAAATAAACTGCTACTTTTTAAAGTAAAAGTCCTGGCTTTAATTCCCATCGTAACATTTTTAATACATTATTCTTCGTTTCATCGCATTTGGTGAATACATTGAATTAGCTGAAGCAAATTAAATGCATATTCTAAATTGTTTAAATGCTATAGTTCTAATAACTGTTTATGGTGGGCACGCGAAGACCTTGACAATTTCATTGGTGGCATACTGCCATCTAAAGGATGTACCGTGTTTTACACTGTCCTGTACATTTTAGTGCATGGGTCCCCCAATCCCAGTCCTGAGGTCCCCACAGTGTGCACATTTTTGTGCTTTCCCTTATCTAGAACATCTGATTCAACTCATTGACTCATTACTAACCGTGTGTAGAGTTACAGTAGAGTACACAAAAATATGCAGAGCAGGACTGACCTCAGGAACCACTGCTTTAGTGTTCAGCTTAGGAAGGGCTTAAAAATGATCTCATTAGCTGAATCAAGAAAAAAATAATTGACTAAATATGCAGTGCCGGGACTGAGAACTACATTTTAAACTGATTGTAACACGTCCATCAGAATTTTCTAGACCATTAAGCATAATCAAAGAAAGACAGATCCTGTGAACTCATCTGTGTAGACTTGCCTGGTAAACTATCAGCATGTATGAATAACAAACCTTACACCTCAAACTTTGATCCAGCATAAGTAGAGCATTCTCTAGCGTGTAGGTAAGCTCGGTAAAAAAGTAGACTTGTAGAATCTCAGATGGTAGACTACATCACACAAAGCACACCATTACTGTGTTTCATGATGTTTATTTTCTTATTTTTTAATTTCACCTTGGCAAGTAGAAATAATGGGAATGATTAAGAATATAGTAATATTAAGTAAGGTGTAGAGCCCCTGTTTGTCTTTGGAACAGGTCCAGTCCTTCTGTAAGTGCAGCCATACTAGTCCTGAACTGTGTGTAGTGAGATATTAGGCCATTTAGAAAAAAAGCCTCTGAGTAGCATTACACCTTGAAATATAAGAACATTATGGTATTTGCACCAAAAGGGAGCATGTGGTCTTGTAAAATGGACTTATATTCCATGGTCAAAAAATGATCAACCACTGGATATGTAGCTTGTATTCCAGCAAATGCACTGTGCTTTTGCTTAGAACTACAATTAAATACAGCTGACATACTGCTAATCGGCAATCTCCTTAATATAACTAATCTGTTATTTTGGTCATGCTCTACATAACCACCATTTAAACGGTTTCACCTCACTGATGTCATAGCTAGATAACATCGGGAAAAAACCCGGTTGCATTCTCAAAAGGTAAAACAGCATAAAACTTTCAATTTCATAAGTATATAAAAATAATACACACACACACACACACACATACATACACACACACACGACACACGGATTATATATATATATATATATATATATATATATATATATATATGCAAAAAATGGGCACCCTTGTTTTGTTGATTTTCTAGTTAAAAAGAAAAACATCCTTTACAGAGAACACAATTCTGCACATTTTAAAGCACAACTGCTGTTTATTTGCTAAATTTTACAAAATAAATAAAACATCAAAACAAACAAAAATGTGGCACATACAAAGGTTACAGCACATTACATTTGATTTTTTTTTAAGAATATGTTATATTTAGCAAATCAATACAAATTCTGCTCTAAAATGTGAGGGCGTGTTAACGTTTTACCTTTTTTTATTTAGAAAATCAACAAAACACATAATGGGTATCCAAACACACACACACACACACACACGCAAATATATATATGCGTATGTGTATAATATATTAAACTATAAGATGATATATATTATCACATGATTCATATATAAGTTGATGTCAGGATTAGCAACCATAGTATAGATGTCCTTATGGATCTCTTGTCATAGTGACCAACTGTTAAGATTATACACTTAACCACAGCAAACCCAAAATTTGGTGATTAAACTTAAAGATGTCCATGAGGAAATGAATTTGTGATTTGGAGAATGCAAATAAGATATGTTTATTTGTTTTGTTTTTCCCTTGGAGTGCTGGGAACAATTGTAAAACTTGCTAAGAAGACATTAAACCACCACCTCATTCATTCTTTATGAAAACCATACACAATACGTTTCTGTTGGTTGTAGTTCTTTTAGAACCTGCACACATCGGTGCATGTTGTCACTTTTGGAACAAAACATTGTATCTCTATTTTTATTTTTTTTTTTTTTTACATTTGATCTGAAAATACTATTTTTTCTTTTACATTATGTAAACGTTTCAGAATGAACGGACCAATAGGAATGATCCAAAATTACTTGGAATAAAATCTTGTTACATTAAGGGTTTACACGATTTTGAGGATGCAAGGTTTTGTTCCAGCAGCGATGATATACATGATAAACAGATAAATAACATGAATATAAAACAGAGCCCATTTTCATTCAGTCAAAAAGTCATGCACAGTCTTGGTTCTGAAGGATTCTGAAGAAGCACAGCTCCGCATTCCCAATGTCTCTCACAAGGCAATATGCCCCAGTACAAAATGTGAGCTAGAAAAAAGGGCACCAATATCATGAGTTCTAAAACAAAAATAGACAACAAATGCACATATTTTTTTAAGAGATCAGTCTGTTCTTATCCTCCTCATGACTCTGTGTAATCCTTTGTCACCATAATTGCACATTTTTATTTGGCAGACTCCAAATGTGCAGGGCTTTTGCTCCACCTGCTGCTTTGGCAGTGTTGAGTGACCTCTGGAGTGAACTGGCCCCTACCAACATTACATCTGCTAGTGCTGATCCACTCACACTGGCATCATGTCCTTTTTAAGCGGGTAGATGTCCCACGTCAGCCCATCGCCATAAGGGACGTGTCCAGAAGGCAGCAAAACCCTCGTGAGCCAATGACTGTTAAGAGAGCATTAAAATATTACACTGCATGAATAACATCATGAATCTTTGAGCAAATAAGGATAGTCAGTGCTGCAACAACGGCTTTTGTGCAATGTGATGACGTGCTTTGTAATGCAATGTGCTGTAATTCTCCTAAATGTGGTTTGATATGTTAATGAGATTTTGTTGACACATTGTTATTAAGAGCCATTTCTAATTCATCTTTACCTCTTCTTCTCTACACCAAAGAACACCTTCCAGTTATTCAGTTTTCCATAGTTGAATGGATTCTTGTAGACCTGTCGCAAAAAGAAGCACACAGTTGCTTACTACATTATTTATTGCAAAAGAAATACTAATGATCACATTAGAAAAAATCATTTAGCTGTTATGATCCCATTATAAAAACATGTAACCCCTTAAAATACCAGGTTTATTACATTCTAAGGCTTATTATACAATAATTACATGGACAACAATGCAAAGTACCTGAGTTATTCTTAGTTTAAAAAAGTGTGTAATACAAGTTTGGTGGGCATATAAGGGATTAATTGTCATGTAATTAATACATAATTTTAAATGCAATCTACATTTGTCAGTTTCTCATAGAAAAAGTCAAACGTCTGTACGTATTTATTGCATAGTGAGAAGGTGAAAGTTACGATGAAGATAAAGGTCACTGGTCTAAAAATTCCTAATACACTGTAACTATAGTTAGCAAAGTAACTGTGCAAGAGGTTGCGGACCATCAAGTGTTCTTCCTGTAACCCCATTATATGGGAAGGTACATTGAGGCACCTCTAGTTCTTTGAGTACCCTATTGGATATTTAAGGCACCTTTAAATTTTACAGTGTAAATGGATCGTCACTGTACTTCAAACAATGTTTATCACTGGACAGACTGTTAAGCATTCACTCAAGCCGTCTTCTAAACACCCTAGATCCACTGTTAAGAGTATGTGGTTAACACTATCCACAGATACGGATCATTAGTAGTGTATATTCACAGCACTAAGCATTTAGTTTAGTGATTAAATCAGCATGAAAACCTTCACAGACACACTGTTTAATACTTGAACAAAAATATTATAAGCTTGGCCCTAATAATGCAGTGAGTGGATACCATAAGCTTAATGATGTGTGCTGGTGTTTCTACCTTTCCCCGCTTCATCATGCGTCTGGCCTCCTTACTGTTGATATGTCTCTCAATACTTGTCTCTCCACGGGAGATGAGGATAGCATGCCACACCGTCAAACCTCCTAAAGCAACTGCTACTGTGCTGTGGGCCACAGGACATGTTTAAAAATGATCATCTGGAAAATTAAAATTATCGAAAATTACTGACCAACTGAACAGGCTGGTAAAATAAAGTACCTTGTAAGGACCCACATGTAGATTACACTCTTATGAAACAGTCTGTCCTTAAAAGTGTAAGGTGGTGGTGGTGTGTGATAATAACTCTAATTGAGGAAGAAAAAAAAAAAAGATTGTGAAAAACATTTAGAAATCTCTTACATGTAATGGCTGATTTCTACAGGCAAAGATTGTAAAAATCATTAAAAAAAACAGTTTAAACAAGAAATTACTGATAATCATACACTTAAATTTTGATTTTAAAACATGTCTGAATTAAAACTAAATACAGATTTAACTTGATGGTAGTAAAATGGAATTCATAAATAAACACACTACAGTTGAGGACTTCCAAGGAAGCGTCATATTTGTTTTTGTACCCTATGATATTCAAGAATGAAAATTAGGCTGAAATTTGTCCAACAGAAAGAATAATGTAAACCCACTCAGTTACTACTGTATACACCAATAAATGTGTCAGATTAAAATAAGGTCGTAGGTAAACAATATGTCAATGTGAAGAAATCCGTGCTATTTATGCTTCCGATCAATAAGTCAATGTGCAAAAATGTTATAAAAACCTTAAAACAGCAACTTGATTGTCCCAAAATATGATGTGTTCTCAAATTGTCATGATTCAGGCTTTAATAAAATAAGGGCATTTGAATGAAGCTGTAATATGTTAACAACAGATGACCTCGACCCTCAAGCTGACCACAGAAACACCAAGATGAG